GCCCGCTGTGTCCGCGGTAACGGTTCGCGCTGTGGTGCAGGCTGTCCGCCGGTCCGCGCGAGTCGTCGCGTTACTGCGTCCAACCGAGTTTGCCTGTAGGGGTGCGGGGGAGGCGGGTGTTTTTACTGGGGAACCGCTGCTGCACTTGCGCTCAGAATTGGATGCGTTTTCGCGTGCTGCTCCTGTCACAAACCCGAGGTTATGTCACTTCTAGCGCTTTGCGGGTGGGCTTCTGGTGCCCACACCGCAGTCTGCTGCGCAGTGGTTCCCGGCCCTCCAGGACTGCTGTTGCAGACTTTCCCAGGGCACCTCCTTTCTCTTCCTGTAGAAGAGGTGGTTGTGCGTTGGTGGGCCTGTCTTGCTAGAGCTGTTTTGGAGCAAACGTTGGTGTTTGTTAGAGAGGCAAACCTGAAATTTCAGCATGGAAATAGCTCTTACTGAGAAATGCTTTTCAGTATTCAATAAAAATAAGGGAACAATCAAGTTTCCTAGTAAAACTGAAAAGTCTGTTTAGTGTGTCTTCTGTGGTATTTAATGTTCAATAAAGTCGTGAGCAGGACTTGCTTATAACCATCATGGTGTGTTGATTAGACTAAGTGTGGAGTATAAACAGTACTAACAGTATTTAGACAGCAAAGCAAAAACTAACAGAATGCTTTATAAAGCAGGGATTGCACAGCTCCTAGGCTTTTGGGTCAGACTTTCCTTTTAAAGTTATGTGTATGTTGATAGAAGTTTACTACCATATCCTGTAGAGGTGCGCGTGGGAGAAAACCCCTGTAATGTTACTTAAAAGATGAATGGAAAATACTCAGTTGGGTGGTGAGAAATGCTAAGTCTATATAGATAGCAGTCTCTATCCCCCACATAAATACTTTCTGGTAGTCATTAACTCAAGAATGACACAACTTGCCCCTGCCCGTCACTTCCATGGGAGCTCACCTAAGACTTCTCTGGTCTCATGTCCTCTTTCTAAGAATAGCTGATATCAGGTGATTCAGAAAAAATAAGCTTATAGGTGTTTATAGGTCTTAAACATATAAACATCCTCTACCAAATCAGGCTCCACCGCCATTTCCTATGGCCAAGCTTGGCTTAAACCTTGAAGCTGGGTGTTCGAGTACCTTTAACAAGACTGACTTTAAGAGGACTCTGGCTGTTCTTGATCACCCCCTGAGTAAAAACTCCAGCCCCTTGATTCTTGTTAATGTCTTGTGGCTTCCTGTGGCAATAAGTACCAGTTTAAACTCATGAAAAATGTTTTCTTCTCTCTGGGTCGTCTTTGAGCTCCTATACTGTGAGATATAATAGAAGTTCTGGAGTTTCCTTCAGTATTGCAGAATAATATTTCCTACATAGTATAAAATGCTTATGCATTTTTTTTTTTTGTTAACTTCAAGCAGTTCAGTGACTTTTACAGCAACACCTTGTGTGCACTCAGGCTTCATCTGTAGGCTGGCAGCTGTCCTGATCAGCTTCTCTAGCTAACCCATCTTCTATCTTTGGTAGCAATTATTTTAAAGGTCTCAATGGTGACTGGTTGGTAGGTAGTCTAATAAAATCCAACTAGGAGGAGGCAGAAGAATCTTCTTGGGTAAATCTCACTCATTTTGATACTAAACACAAGCATGTGAGCAAACAGAAGGAAAAGTTGTGTGGAGTAGGCTGTAAGCACATCAGTGATCTAAAGAAAAGTACTTAATTATTTGGAGATTAGATGAAAATGCACTTCAGAATGGAACAGAAGTAAAACCTTCTACTTTGTATTATTTGTACTCTGCATCCATCTTAAGATACCTGTATTGCCAGAATACAACTGTTTGATAGGCTCCATGAGCTTGCCTTGAATTCTGCTGTATTCCAGTGTTATTGAATTCTTTCTCTTGAGTACTGCAATTTACCAGATTTTTAAGTGGAATGAGCATCTTAACTAGTTAACACATTTATGTAAAATAATAGCCATCTTCAGAGTGCAGCTAAGTCTCAAATATAAAACTAAATGTGAATCTTATGAAGTCTTCTCATGGAGATGAGTGTTGGAAAATAAGTAAATTGTTACACAATAGGTGTAATGTTCACTTTATATGTTCAAGAGTAGTTGCTTGTATGAGGATAGGCATGGTCCAGAAAGAATAATGTTTGCTGCTGCAATAATACACTTTTCTAATTGTTATCTGCAGGTAATTTGTATTACCAACTCCAATCAACCAGGCAGTAGATTTCTTCCAAGCTAGTTTGGAGTTTAAAAAAAAAAAACACCTTATTTTCCAAGGCAACTTACAGTTCACTAGCCTTATTTAAAAAAAATAATAATCAGAGCCTGAAACAAACAAAGAAAAAAAACCCCACACACCCCAAAGAACCCACACCAAAAGCCAGCTGTCCTCACACCCTTGCCAAATTCAGCTGCTGTGTGTTGGGACTTCCATGGCTTGCACGTGGTAACTTATGGTAGTCCTTTCTTCAAAAGTAGAAAAATGCTGTGGTCTGTTGTACAGAAACTGATTATGCACCTGAAGGAGTCAGTTCTCTGTCCCTTCCCCACTGCTTACTTGCTTCCTTGCGGCTTCAGAGGAAAATAGGTTAGGGAACAAGTAAAACAGAAAACCATTCAGATCAGCTCTCCTTTTTTCTTCAACATTTGCAGTGTATCTGATGGGGCTAGGGGTCAGGCGTTTCTAAACTCTAAATGGCTGCATAATTGCTATAAATTGCTTACCTTGTGTTCATGCAGGAGTTCATGCCTTACTGTACATGCTGTTGACAAGGTGGGACATTCTGTGCCTTGGTTACAAAGTACTGCTGCTTTTTTCCAGTGTCAAAGTATCTTCCACTTCAAAAGCTTACGTTCAAGATTCTTGTTTGTAGATTGACATAGGACTCCACCGCATGGTTGCATTTTTGATAAAATAACACTTGAAAATACCATTTTGCATTATTAGGTACCTAATTTGAAGGGGAAAATACAGAACATAAACACGTCTTTATTCCCCATTGTGTCTGACAGAAGAACTGGTTTGGTGTGTGCCCTGTTACTGGTCACTGGTAGGCTTTTGCTGTATGCTCTATTTACTAAGGTTGCTTTTTGCTACAACTTCCTCGAACTTCAGGCATATGTGTCAGGTTATGTGTGTCTTGATGTGATCTCGTGTGTCACTTGATAATAACCAGGTTATGTGTGGAGACGCTCTATAGTTCTGAAGCTGAAAGTAGCTTGCTTTGTGAAGTAGAAAGAAAAGGATAAGCTGATAAGTATTCAGATTTTGAAACGGAAGAGTGAGAGTTGGAAGTTGTTCAGTGGTGCTGCTGTTAAGATGTTGTCTCTTTGTGTAGAAGTAAAGCTGTTACGAACACCACCTCAGGCTGCTTCGGTTGTATGCTTGTGGCAATCAGTGGTAGGCTATCTTACTGCCTGTGTGACTGAAAAATGCTGAGATTGTCTTTTCTTTAGACACGAAGTGCAGTACCCTTGTAGTAAAGACATCTTTGTTGAGTCTAGTTGCCTTCGCAGTCTTCAAATCAGAACAGATATGAATGTAATTTTAATCTTGGAGATACAGAAGAAAAAAGTGAATTTTTTGTGCTAACATAGAAATGCTTTTGTCCATGAATGCAGTCACATACTTATTATAGTCCCAGCGTTGAGTACAGTGTGGGATTTTGCTCACATTTAGAGTAGAAGTGGAAATACTGTCAGTATCTTCTGTTGATGCAGAGAGGCTCATTACAAATGGGAAAGCTAGGTCTGCCAGAGCAAGGCTCTGAAATTCTGTTATAATTAGATATTTCTGATGACATCGTTATTGGTATGATCTAAAGTGTAGTCTCGAACTGGTAGTAGCCATTATGCTCTAACCAGTGGTTTTCACGCCAGAAGTAAGGAAACTGATGCATGTGCACTCTGCCAACCGTGTCTTAGGGCTGTAGCAAATACTACATTTCAACAAATGCTTTAACTTGATGTTGCTGTTGAAAGGCATTCTTTTCACAGCCCTACCTGCGAGGTTTTATGTGGTTGTAGGGCGAACTAGGTGAATCGTAAGCTATTAATGAGCTGGGCTAGTCTTCTAGCTTATTTAATGCTTTATAGCCTAAACAGCTCTCCCAGCGCAACATGGGCCCGTGAACAACTGGGGGTGGAAGAGCAGGACTGGTGGCTGTGTAAGCTTAATGCCCATTAGGAGAAGGGGGCTTAGGAAGTTGTGGTTAGTGTTAATGTTACTCCACTGTTTCTAGCTGTGCTTTAATAGAGATCTGATGTGGTTAGAGCATATGGCATTCAGCTCAGTAGCGATGTGTCTTCTCTAAAGCACTAGTATGGGTTTGGGGGACTGTAGGGTGTGACAAATGTGCTGGCATAGACATAATTCAGCAAGGCTGTTACATGATGTGTTGATATTGATTGTTGCACACTAGTCCCAGCGCTGTCATTTTCTGTTCCTTGAAAGTCTGATCTGTCATGGAGTAAATAAAGCTTAGCAATTACAGCAAAGTTCTGTTGGCAGAACATACTTGTTTCACAGTTGGAGGTTTTCTAGAGTTCGTAGCTATTGAATTGCCTGGGAAATAGGGTCATCTAGCCATGGATACCACTTTCACCTTATACTTAAATTGTTTTTTTGGAAGACCTGCACTTTATGTGATTAATTATAGAGCGCACTTTGTTAGAGGTGCAGTTACTCTAATTAGAAGACGTAGTTTTTTCTGTTGACAAAATAGACTTGTTAATTATTGTGAATGGTTTGAATATTACTGAGGCACATTGAGTTATAGAAGTGCTGGTTGGAAGGAATCTTTATTTCATATAACCTCCTGCTTAAAGCAGGATTGTCACCAATGTTAGATCACCCTTGGTTATGTCTAGCTGGGTGATTGAAAACCTTCAAGGGTAGAGATTCAGTGCCTATTTGGGCATGATCAAGGTAAGAGCAGTATTGCATGGCACTGTCTGTTTTCTGTATGTGTAAAAAGATAGTGGGGAGATATTGTCTGTGACTCTTGTTCTGCAATGGGAATCTCCATAATAAGAACCCAATTAAATATGGGAGAAAACAGTAGTTAAAGAGAGACCAGGAACCTTCTGAACACAGTGGATGAGGTGAACAAGTACAAATATTGAGAAACTACTGCAGCTGCAGACTTGGAGAACCTGCTGTGCGAATCACTGTGCACATGGTATTTGTCAAGACTAGAGGAGATGTAATTGGGACACAATATCAGTGCTTTTATCTCTGTCAATGTTTCGGAGAGGCCATCTGAAAACAAACTGCAAGATTAGGAGAGACTGGAAGGCTTTAATGAGATGTTGAAGGATGGGCTTAGACAAGTGAATGGTGGTGTTTCCTTGCAAGGTGTTAGGAGGAAGGCTGGTTGCAGGTGCAGAGAGTGTTAGGGACCTAAGTAGATTTGGACATCTTTAGATGGTAACTTAAAGATGCTCAAAGAAACTAATCTCATCAATCTGGTAGAGGGCATAGCTGCATTCAGGGGAAATCTAAGGCTGTAAGCAATGGATTTAATTAATATTGTAAGAAAATGCAGTGTGATCCTTGGAAAAGTAAAAGATGTTGAAGGCCTGGAGCGTGCCTCTTTGAGGAAGAGGGTCACGGGGACAGGTGGGGGCCACAGAGTTGTTGCTTCTCTTCAGTTTTCTATTGCCTTCTGCAAGTCGCTTTTACCTTCCGGAAAGCACTAACTGGACTTTATCCTTTGCTTATCTGAAACTTGTCCTTAATAGAGTTGTGTGGCTCAGACAGCAGTTCATTGAGAACTTGTGACAGTTGCAGTGTGTGGGCTCTGGGCATTGCTTTGAAGCTCTGTGGAAGGAAGTAACAATGCTTCCTCTCAGCATAGTGATGTCTCTGCATTCTCTTGAAGCTTTTTCTTGCCAGGTACTTGCACTGGATTCTTGACCTCTAAATGTTAGAAGGGAAAAGTCGACCCTGTTCTGTCCCTATGGCTCTGTGCTCCAAGAAGCAATGGTACTCAGTGGCTACCCACAACCCTCTGCCCTCAGGTTTTTGCAGAGTACTGGAAACTTTTTCCCTTAAATATCACACAGCTATTTCTGACAACTCTGGAGTGGTCACACTGCAGTATCACTTGCACTGTGTTCTGAGCTACAGGAACCTATTTTGAATCAAGTCATAAATGGCTTCATGAAAATAGTTGCAGTCTATTTTTTTTTCTTCCAGCCAACAACACAGCAATCTCCTCAGGATGAACAGGAAAAACTCCTGGATGAAGCCATTCAGGCTGTGAAGGTTCAGTCTTTCCAGATGAAGAGATGCTTGGTAAGAATGTGATTTTTAAAATGCAATGAAGCTTCTTGTCTGCTAGGAGTAAAACAGTAAATCAATACTCATTTCTTGTGATGTGAGGAAAGTTAACCCTTTATGCATCTTTCTGGCAGAGGCTTTGCAAATAAATGAGGTGGCTACTCAATGAGAGTGAGCCTTGAGTATTCTTTGAATGTGTCTTCCTGATTTTGATCCAGTATTTGACAAGATAAATGATAAAGGTACACCTTTATAATTTATGTGTTTGCATTTAAGTAAACCTAAAGTGAGAAAAAGCCTGCCATTTGACATGAGAAGGTTATTGCTTAAGTTCATTTTATATGGAACTGTATGATGAGAAGCTATTCTTCTTTATGTTCAACATAGTGTTGGCTTTTTACAGTCTGTGGTTCATGCCAAGAAAAGACTACATGTAAGGCCAATAATGAATTACCTGCTACATAGGATAAATTTTGTAGTGATGAATTGCGGACTAATGCATGATTTTTTCTGTGACTAGAAACCACCGTTGGCTAGGGTTGTGTGGAGATCTTTATCTGGAAATTGGGATGGGCAACGTAGTACAAGCTAGGTACTAAATCAATGGATTTAATTAGAATTACTGCTTTTGTCATGTTTGCTTAATCTTCGTATGCTTTTTTTAAAAAGCTAAAAGTGTAGCTTTCTAAAATAGTGCAGTTGCCTAGTATTACTTCTTACAGATTGTTCTCTTTCTGCCTCTAAAGGACAAAAACAAGCTCATGGATGCTCTGAAACATGCTTCCAACATGCTTGGTGAGCTGCGGACTTCTATGTTATCTCCAAAGAGCTATTATGAGCTCTGTATCCTTTGAAAAGGAAAAAACTGGTTGAAATGCTGAATTTGGAATGAAATGTTCGTCTGCTTTTTTTGGTACCATGGCATCTTTTTGGTCTCAAATATTTACTTGCACTTTTCTCCTCAGCATTTACTTATCTGGATCTATTGTACGAGAACATTGCCTTATTTGCTCAATGTGTATTTATCCCAATAGTGTTCTAGAAGTACTACCTACTTAGGCATGATTGTGTTTGGTACAGCACTTTTCCTTCTTGGTGTGAATGAGCAAATTACTATGTAAATCTGTGGTAGACGTTCTGGCTTAAAGTCCTTAACTAAGAGAAAAAGATATGGCAATTTCTGATGAGCTACACTACTTGGAAGTCTACCTGACAGATGAATTTGCCAAAGGAAGGAAGGTGGCAGACCTTTATGAGCTAGTACAGTATGCTGGAAATATTATTCCAAGACTGTAAGTGTATATATGTTAGTGTGTGGGTTTTTTGGTGTTATGTTTTTTTTTTAAACTGGTGAATAGTGGTCAGACTCTGGGTTCAGATAATGATTGACTCTGCATTCTTGCTTGATAGCGAGAATTCAGTTTGCAATGGTGAATAGTATTTCTGGATATCTTAAGAGTGGAT